CTGGAGAGAAAGACAGGGCTTAGTTAGGCAACTGTTTATTTTAATGTCATGTCAACATCGAAGGGTATCTTCAAGACAAAACCAATTACAGTAATACAAAAGCAATATAAATACCAGGGATGTCAAAAGTATCGACTTAGATACTAATAGATACTAAAAGCTATATAAAAATCAGGGTTGTCAAAAGTATAGACTTCGATAGAAATCGATACCACAAGGTATATGAATACCAGGGTTGTCAAAAGTATCAACTTTGATACAAATAGATACTAAAAGTTATATAAATTCCAGGGTAGTCAAAAGTATCGACTTCGATACAAATAGATACTAAAAGCTATATAAATACCAGGGATGTCAAAAGTTTTGAGTTTGATACAAATTGACACCAAAAGCGATATAAATACCAAGGTTGTCCAAAGAATCGACTTCGATACAAATTGATACCAAAAGCTATATAAATACCAGCGTTGTCAAAAGAATCAACTTCGATACAAATAGATACTAAAGCTATATAAATACCAGGGTAGTCGAAAGTATCGACTTCGATAAAAATAGATACTAAAAGCTATATAAATACCAGGGATGTCAAAAGTATCGAGTTCGATACAAATTAATACCAAAAGCTATATAAATACCAGGGTTGTCAAAAGTATCAACTTCGATACAAATAGATACTAAAAGCTATACAAAAATCAGGGTTGTCAAAAGTATCGACTTCGATACAAATCAATACTACAAGCTATATAAATACCAGGGTTGTCAAAAGTATCGACTTCGTTAGAAATGATACTAAAAGCTATAGAAATACCAGGGTTGCTAAAAGTATCGACATTGATACAAATAAATACTAAAAGCTATAGAAATTCCAAGGTTGTCAAAAGTATCGACTTCGATAGAAATAGATACTAAAAGCCATATAAATACCAGGGATGTCAAAAGTATCGACTTCAATATAATTTTTAATTATAATATTATTATTATTAATGCCGCTCTGTAGGTCTATTGCTGATATTCATAAATATTCATATCAAATCTAATCGCACTTCACCAAATCGCACTTCAGCAGCATTTATTTGAGAGCGCACAAGAAAATCTGCACTTGAGCAGTGCATATTTGAGGGCATGCAAAAAGTTTTGTGCACGAACAGAGCAAATCGCCGCACAAGCAGAGATTCGCATGCTTGTATAACATTAATGCGATCTCAACTTGTAATACTGTGCTCACAACATTTTTTATTTAAATTTAAATAATACCATAAGACGTTGATGGATCTGTGTAAAAGGCTGCCGCCACAGCTGAAAAAAAATCCTAGAGGAAACACAGATATCAGTATCAATGATATTGGATAATCCTGCATAGCGTTGGGGAATCCTGTTGAAATATCCAGAACTCGATATACCGCCCAGCCTATACATTTTACAGTGTTTCTAAAAATATCATTACGTTTTTGTGATTACTAAAAGTTCATTTATAACTATTAATATGGAGAGAAATTCCATTTTTAAAAAATTTATATACAACAAACAATAAGCATTGAAAAAGGAATTGTAGTAAACACTGAGACATACAAACTGCTCACTGAAATAAAAAAATAAAAAAAACACAAAATACTTCATTTGACTAGCAAAACTGTCTAGATCAGTAATGCCCAGAGGGAAGCTGGACTCATCATCCCACGCAAACACACAAACCTATCAATACAGTCAAAAAAACAGGCAGCCACACATTAGCTGAACTCGTTTGCTGAGAGTATGGCTGCTCACAATGGTTCACTCTCAACAAAGAGAAAAGAGCGTCTGTCCAGCCAACAGTGAAGGGTGGCGTCAGGTCAACCAACAGGAGGGCAACACTATCCTATAACACTATCAGGTTTACTTAAGCCTGATTTCTGCTCTCTTACACAAACACACACACTATTGTTGCAGCCATTTAGATTTCTGTCTCTTTTAGTGTGTGCAACTGTGTGAAGCATTACAATAACTCAAAGGTCCAGTTAAAAGTTTTTTTTAAAAGAAATTCATAAATTTAATCAGTGATAATGCATTAAATTGATTAAAGGTGACAGTAAAGAAGGGGTGTGTAATATGTGAATACTGAGTGTCACCCACTTTACAAAAAAGTTAATTCAATAAACAAGACTACAATAGTATTCACTACTACTGAATATTTAGGAAACACCAGCAAGATATTGATTTTACATGACTGTTTAACTAACAAGACAGGGCTCAAAGCAAGTTACATTTCACACACAATATTGCCCCTTTTGGTTTTGCCAAACTAAAATTGTGCCGAATAAAGCTGAAGAAAGAGATGAAGAGGTGAATCTTGGAGCAACACTGGTGAACCAAGCAATGATTAGCCTAAATGATCAATTTAAAAAGACAAGATTATTTCTAAATGCATCAACCATTTTGAATAAATCACTTGAATTAATAATTTAGTAAATTCACTCATTATAACGAGGATTGTTGTCCATTACTGGAGGCATTAAGAGTAGTAATGCAACGTTTAACCAGTTTTTGTATTACTGCGCTTTAATTCATCATGGTTAATTAATTGTAAAGACTTCTCAACATCCTGTTTCTGCATGGAACAGAACTGCAAAACTGCTGCAACTAAACAAAGTTGTGCCAACAATGCGCTAGTTTAAAGTTCTGAGCTTGTACACAAAGGATAATACCTATGCACACTAGATTAACTATGGCTGAGGTTATTAATCATTAAAATCTCAATATTATTAGCTCCCTTAAGCCATATATATTTTGATTGTCTGCAGAAGAAACTACTGTTATACAATGACTAGCCTAATTACACTAATTAAGCCTTTGAATGTCACTTTAAGCTGAATACTAGTATCCTGGAAATGATCTAGTAAAATATAAATGTACTGTCATCATAGCAAAGATAAAAGAAATCAGTCATTAGACATGGGATATCAAAACTATTACGTTTAAAAACGGGTTCAAAATAAATCTTTCCATTAAACAGACATTGGGGAAAGGATTGCTAATAATTCAGGAGGACTAATAATTCTGACTTCAACTTTATATATACAATTATTTTTCTCCTTGCATATAAAGGGCAATAAATACAATAGAATAAAAATATTAAACAAACTGTGCTTTAAGCATCTTCACAGTAAGAAAAAAAAAAACTTTAGCTACAAAAGTCCTTCAGTCAAAAGCAGTGAGGGATTTTCTCCTATTGTTTCTTGACTAATGATAAAAACTCTCTCTAAAAGCTCTGATATGGTTTCTCTTTCACATGTCTTTTGATTCTCAACTTGTTTGTTTATTACACAAATGAGCGTTAATATGAATAATCCCTAAACACCGCGCACTGACACAAATGTGCATGTATTTAAGCAATAAAGCGCTCTCATTATGATGGCTAAGCACGCGTACACACACAACAGCATGTGCTCTTTCATGCGTTTAAAAACATAAATGATTCGAATGTAAATCAATGAATGATGCGCATCCCATGCTGCAAAAGTTACATTACAGTACACGCTATTAGTCATTTTCACATGCAAATCAGCTATGCAGAGCAACAAATGTGTACAACTGGAAGGGGGCAGTATATGATGGAATAATCATTTATTTCGATTAATGTTTTTTCATAATCGTTAGAAGCAAAACTCGAAGTTGAAACCGGATTTTCGATTAATTGCACAGCCCTAATATCGCGTCCACTGGATCGATGCGCACACAGGGCGCTTGAGCTAGTTGAATGATTGAATGGAAATACCACACAATTTTGTAATATAGTTGACCAAAGGTGCTTTTCAGACCAAGGTTCAGGACATTTGCTCTCTTTAAAAGGGAAATAGCTAATATGTAGCTTAGATTTACATAAAACAAATACTACTTTTTATTTATTTATTGTTCTGTCATTTATTTTCAGTGTAAATTTATTACTTATGTTAAAATGCCAAAAACTTTTTAAACTTATTTTAAGTCCAAAAAGAATTAGACTACTGTTTGTTTTTAATATTATTTTGTGCTGTTTAATTTAGTTACTGAGTTGCAATAAATAACACTTTAAACTAAAAAGGTTTTCATGTGATTTTCTAAGCTAGTAGTGTTTTGAAATGAATGAATGCATAATAATTGTGATAACCGTTATCATTCTTCATGTTATAATCCTACAACCAAAATCAATAATCGCTGCATCCCTAATTAAGAGTCATTCATTTATCCATTACAGGCCTAAACCATTCAATGTGTAATAATACAAACCAACACTTAGCAAAATGACATGTTCAAACATCAAACATGCATATTTTTATGTGTATTTTGTTAGTATTGCACACTCCAAATAAAAAAACTGTCAAAATCAAACATATAGCAAGCATTTAAAAAATCTCACTGTATGATCCCAACTTATGAAAATGTTAAAGGATATGATCGAAAAAATCGATATAATTGTTTGCTTACAAAGTAACAGCACAATGTTAAATAAGCAGCTTGATCTAACTAATATATGACTATAGTACAAACAAAAACACGAGACCAAGGTTTGTTCAAATCCCTAATAAGAGTGAAGCCTCGCAAACACCACAGAAATCGGACATTGAGCTGTTGTCAAACCCTTCTGCTGCTGTGCCAGACTGTGTCAGGCATTTCCCAGGCCTCGGTAAAAGCTTTCACCTGTGCGTCTCTCTTTCACCCTCGCTCTCCTCTCACACTCATTCCGTAGTACGCAGGGGGTTTCTTTTCTCTGCCGTACGTTGCTAAGCTGCTCATTCAGGTCAAATGGCACTTGGAAAGATGGTTCAGATTAGAGACACACAACTCTGCCAGAAATGTGCACACACACATAAATACACCGGGTGGGCTCAATAAAAGAGCCTAAGCCAACAAGCGGCAATACTACACCACACATTACACATACGTGCAAGCATAGAAAAACAGAACTTTACTATCTTAACTTAGGAGTTGCTTTCTGGGTAAAATGGCCATGTAAACAGAAATGTAAACAATAACCACAAACTCTA